GTGGACAAGTCTGGATACTCAGAGGCAGAGATTGCCATGAGGGGCGGGACTAGCCAGATCAAAAATGACCAATCAGAAAAAAGGCAGAAATGACGACTGTATCACGCAATGCTGTAGTGTTTTAGCTGTAGTCAAAAAATGGCATCTGGCGATGGCGCAAACATCTGTCTTTAGAACAAAGGCTTTCAGCACTTCTTCTTATTGTGGTTTTAAAGACATGTCCAAGTCTTTTACAAAGGAGGAAAGAGCCGCAGCAAACCATCTTTGTTGTTTATGAGAAACTGAGTGTTGCGGTGTGTGTCATACGCTGCTCAGCGCTGATTGGCTCAGTTTGAATTCTCAGGGGGTGGGGTTATTTCAGTGGGAGTGTTACCAGGCCCTTCACTTCCCATAAGGAAGCATTGGCATGGCTGGCCAGTTTAGGCAACCGCATGGAGAGGTGGAGGAGACTGTGGGAGAAATTTTCCCGTGTTCAAAAGTTTCAAAAATACATAAACACAACAAAGAAAATATTAAATACCATTACAGATGACTGTAATCGTGACAGGAAACCACAGAAAAGGTATGCGCCCTCTGTTGTCCTGGCGGGGAATTGCTTTGCATGACTCCCTACGTGACAGAGAAGTGTGAAGGGAAAACATCTCCGTTTACATGTTTATGTTTATGTGCTTAGCAGACGCTTTTACCCAAAGCGACTTACAATTTTTTTTTTTTTACCTATAGGGCGTGTTGTGATCTGTGGGGGAAACCGGAGTACCCGGAGAAAACCCACGCATGCATGGGGAGAACACGCAACTCCACGCAGAAAGGCCGCAGCCGAGTTTCGAACCTGTGACCTTCGTGTTGCGAGGCAACAGAGCTAACCACTGCGCCACCATGCAGCCCATGCAGCACATGTCTGTGTGGCTCCACACTTGCACTGACGAAGAATAATAAATCAGCCTTAACATTTACTTTGTGAAACAGGAACGCCAGCGCTTTTCATTTCCACAAAGATCGACTCACAAGGCATTCATTTATTCTAGAGACCACAGCAAATCTGTTAAAAAATGAGTGAATGGGAGCTTTAAGTGGTTCTGAGCTGTACATCACATTTTAGAGGCAACTTTGCAAGAAAAGTTATGTCGTCATTCTAATTTATAATCATTTTTTATGTGCTTGGCTTTGAGTTCTGAATGTCTCATCATGGTGGGCATCTAGGCAATGTGAAGAGCAAAATTCCAGGTAACTCAGATCAAACTGTTTTCTTTTCCTCTTTGAAAGAGTGAAAAGATGAAACCAAACACAGAATTGGGACTCTACTGAGTGAGTTTGTCTGCCCGGTGGTGTGTTTCTCAGCCACCTCAGCTACTGTCCTGTGAGTAACTCAGGTGCGTTCTGACCAGAGAGACTGACTGAAATTGAAATGCAGCTGATGAAGGCCAGAGATGATTGAGTCAGTGAGGTTTTGGTCATCTATTAGATTATCATCAAGCACAGATGCAGGCGGGCCAAATGTCTATGCTCTGCCCATCTCTGCACAGGTGTCTCATTAGTGTTTCTGGCAATGCTCTACACATTATTACCAGCTGATTAACTGTTGTTGGTACACTTTCTCCACGAGCTTCAAATTTAATTCACCTACTTTGACTTAGAGGACATGCATTTCTTCTTGCAGAGGTGGGTGGGTGCTTGAATCTGAGAGTGCACGTGATAAATAAAAAATAGATAAATATTTAAGCAAATCATATTTTGAACCATTTCACTGACAGGGCAACTAAAACAATATTGTTTTAAAATACTGGGCTATTATTCATGTGGAAGCAATTATTAAAATGATCAAATCCCCAAAGCAAGGGCAACACAAACACAGGTAATATTACACCAAAAGGATTAAAATGCACCCACAATATCCTCATTAACGGACATTTTTCATTCTGCAAACAGTGAAACTGTACCTACATCTAGATGGAAACAGTTTAACTTTGTATTTATTTTATTCTAATTTTGCAGGAGATGACATTTTCCCAAGAAATGCCAGGGCCTTATGGGTAATCAGAGTATGCAACAGTTTTGTTTAAGTTTATTTGAACACTGGAACACTGGACCAGCTCTATACCCTTAGGGAGATCTTGCAGTGTGTGTGGGAGTTTACCCAACCAATCTACATGTGTTTTGTGGATTTGGAGAAGGCGTTTGACCGCATCCCCGGAGCACCCTGTGGTGGTGCTCTGGGAGTATGGGGTACCAGACCCTCTGATATGGGCTGTTAGGTCCCTGTATGACCGTTGTCAGCGCTTGGTCTATATTACCGGCAGTAAGTCGGGCTCATTTCCGGTGAGAGTTGGACTCCGCCATGGCTGCCCTTTGTCACCGATTCTGTTCATAACTTTTATGGACAGGATTTCTAGGCGCAGCCAACGTGTTGAGGGGATCTGTTTTGGTGCCCTAAGGATCAGGTCTCTGCTTTTTGCAGATGATGTGGTCCTGTTGGCTTCATCAGCTTTCGCCGGAGCGGTTCGCAGCCGAGTGTCAAGCGGCTGGGATGAGAATCAGCTCCCATGGTCTTAAGTCGAAAAATGGTACAATGCCTTCTCCAGGTCAGGGACGAGGTCCTGCCTTAAGTGGAGGAGTTTAAGTATCTTGGGGTCTTGTTCACGAGTGAGGGAAAGATGGAGCGTGAGATCAATAGGCGTATTGGTGCTGCATCTGCAGTGATGCGGGCGTTGTACTGATCTGTCGTGGTGAAGAGAGAGCTGAGCCAAGGCAAAGCTCTCGATTTACCGGCGATCTACATTCCTACCCTCACCGGTCATAAGCTTTGGGTAGTTACCGAAAGAATGGGATTGCGTACACAAGCGGCCAAAATGAGCTTTCTCCGCAGGGTGGCTGGGATCTCCCTTAGAGATAGGGCGAGAAGCTTGTTCATCCGGGAAGGGAAAGGGGGGGGGGTCTTGGAGTAGACCCGCTGAGGAGCCAGTTGAGATGGCGTAGGCATATGGTCAGGGTGCCTCCTGGACGCCTCCCTGGTGAGGTTTTCCGGGCATGTCCAACTGGGAGGAGACCTAAAGGAAGATCCAGGACACGCTGGAGGGACTACGTCTCTCGGCTGGCCAGGGATTGCCTTGGGATTGCCCCCGGAAGAGCTCAAGTAGCTTGGGTGAGGGAAGTCTGGGCCTCCTGGCTTAGGCTGCCCACATGACTCGACTCTGGATAAGCAGCTGAAAATGGATGGATGGATAGATAAGGAAAGCATAAAAAGACAAAGTTACATGTAAGAACAATGCTATTGTTTCATAGAGAGGTTTTCAAGCCAAAGGCTAATTTGCAAACCGAGTCCTTGATTGGACGTTTAAAAGAAATGCCAACAATCTAAATAGCTTGGTTTAATGACCATAGGAGATAACGATTGTGTTGCAATTTTTGCATCTTGTCCCTGTTATTGTCATTGATGCAATGTAACAAAGAACTTTGTTACTGTATGAAGTACAATTTTTCTGTATCTGTATTTTCAGTAATTTTTAGAACCTACTTTTTGCTTTTAGTCCACTACATCTCAAAGGGATATTCCACCCCAAATTAAATTTTGTTTGTTGACATATTTCCCAGAATTAGATGAGTGGGAAAAAACTATTTCTAACCAGCCCAGTCATTATCCTGACCCAGTTTTACTCTTTAGCTTAACATAAAATACAGTAGGTTAATGGATCCAACTAGCACTGTGAGTAAAAACGCCCTTAAAATCCGTCATGTTGGGGGGTAGCTTCTGACCCACAACATGCAGAATCAACACAGCCAGCACAGGTAAGTAAAACAAAATGATTTATTTAAATGCTGAGGCTAAAAACATGAACTGAAGGCGCTGCTTAAACAGGATAGCATGGTCCATGGGTCTTTTCTCTCAGGAGGAGAGACAGGATGAGTCTTTGAGCAATTGACAAGTTCTTGTGGTCTGAGATTTGCTTATGGTTTCCAAGGGTTTAGGAGGAAAGAGGAGAGAGATAGTCAGGTCCAGGCAAGCTGAGGGAGTCCAGGGAGCTGTGCACCAGGTGATCCAAGGAAAGGTTCCAATGGGTGTGAGAGGGAGCAGGTGAGCGGCGGAGAGTGGGCAACCAGGGGAACAACAGGGTGACAATGGTGAGGTGAAGATCCAGACAGGTATGGTACAGGAGTGGAGATGGTACTGAGAGAACCTGAGTGAGTAGAGGAGGTTGTTAGTGGTTAAATCACTTTGAAAAGACAAAGTCAAAATGCAACACTTGAGACACCGTGAGTAGACTCGGTAGCTAGAGCTACCCAAACATGAGCTATCATCCGGTGTGGTGTTATGTCACCCAGCTCCTTAATTCCCCTGGGTGTAATATCCCTTTAAAGCAGTGATCTGTTTAAAACAATAAAAAATTGAAAAGTAAAAATACTTTATTTTGCATTTTAGCTCAGTAAAGCCACCCTCAGTTTGATGGAGACTGGCAGCACACTCCCTTGTTCATGCTGGACTGCCGTTCCAAATAGTAATAGCACTTTAATTAGCCATTTCCCCCTGTCTGACAGCTCATTTCTACTCACAACACACATTTAAATGTTAGTTAGAATACTTTTATTTTGCAATAAATTAAAAAATGCATATTTAATACTTTTTCCTGAGTTATAAATGTCTTAGATGCTTCCATTATACATGTATGTTTTATTTTATTTTTTTACCTATTAAAAATCAGTAAACAAAACTTCTTCCACATCTGGTTATTGCTGCATTTAGTCGGAGGCTTTAAACAGAATGTTTGTGTTTAAATCCCACATCCTGCCCTCTGACTGGCTTTTTATTTTTCTACAGTGGCGCCGAAGTTCAGGCATCAACAGCTGGAAGAAACACGAGCCCGGTTAGGCGGAGTCAGAGCGGAGTGTGGTGAACAATCTGGAACCATTAGCCAATCAGAGGTGGAATTGTTCTAACCTCGGCATGTGATTGGCTGTTACGCCTGTCAGACTCCAACAGGGGGGCGCGGCCTAAGCAGTGTTGTGGTTTCCAGCCAGACTGACTCCAGTAGTGCCACAGCGGTGTGGGGAGCTTCTTCTCCGCGCTGCGCTCTGGAATAACTAACGGTTCTGTGAAAGCAACCAGCTGCTGACCAACTTTATTAGCCGCTCGTCTTTGTCGCGACTTAGTTTCGCTGCTGCGGCTTTGAACTGCAACAGAAAACCCTGCTACGCGTGTTTTTCACGGATGAAACAACAGGAGACAATCAGGTAAGAGGTGGTTGTTTCTGGCGCAGCTGTGCTGACTTTGCTCATTATGGGTCTGCCGAGGCTCCTAAGTTTGTTTCCGAAGAGAAAACACCAGTGTGCGTGTGAGGGGCTGGTTGATTATCGAAGTGTGGTATTAGCTTACGTTGTTTTTAACTCGCCAGGTAGAATTTTCTGTTTTCTGGGCTGATTAGTTTTTCTTGTGAGAATAAACTACATAAATAAATAATTTCGTTTAATTAAGATGCGCTGATTTGTATTATGTTTTTTATAATATTAGTTCAGTTTGAACGGTCTCATATTTTCTTCTCGTGAGTTTTGGAAAAACTGACTGATCTGAAATACTGCAGAAAAAAAACTAAACAAAAACAAACCCCAAATCAAAGCATGCCGCTTTGTTTACAGGGAATCCGATTGTGGAAAAAAGATGATGTATGAGAATAAAACTAAAGAGCGTCTGGTTGATTCAGATGAGAAACGCATCAGCCAATAACTGCACGACTGTTTTTTTTAACATCAAACTAATAATTTCCCTTTGATCTACTTGCTCCCTGCATCATGCTTACTTCACCAGCCTTGGTGCCCACATCCCAGGAAAACGATGATTTGATTGTTCTAACAGGTTTCTGCCTCTGCAGAGTTTCAGCAGCAGACTGAATCTCACCAGCAAAGACATTTGAAGCCTGTATCCCCCCCCCCCCCCCCCCCCCCCCCCGCCCAGATTCAGAGGTTGGTGGTTATTTATGTTGAAACGGATGCTAGGAGCTGCTCTTGAGCCTTTCTCTGCAGAAACATGGGCCTATGATTTGTCTCAGCCTGTTGTGCATTAACTCCTCATCTCCCTCTGTGGGTTTAGAGTTTCAGCTGAGGCCAAAGACAACCCAACAATAAATACATCTGAACAATGCACCACACAGACAGCCTCACACCGCCACCTATTCCCATTTCAGCCTGTTAAAATAATAGTTTTCCAGTGGCAACTTCAGCGATGCAGAAAATTCCCGTTGCACTGATTGGAGTGGCATTGACCGTATCCCGATGCTCCTTTGGTTGTGTTTGGAGTTTGTGGTCAGAGCAGTCAGCTGTTTAAGTGGAGACCTTGTGGTGGGATCCTGTGACTTGCTTTGTCCCTGCTCCTCTCAGCCGCTGCAGTGATTTCATAGAGCAGAGAGGAGGTGGCACCCATGGCTTGTGGGTTCTTACCTCAGTTCTGCGATGACTTGGCAATCTTTTCTGCCAGGAGAATATTGCTCTGCCTTTTTCAGATGATTCTGTTTGACATGTAGCTGATGCACTGACGGGGAGAAGTGGCGCCTTTGTGCAGGACGAGTGGGACGCCCCTGCGTTAACCAGTGATCTGCCCGTGCTCAGTCACACTGTGCATCGTGCATACCCATCTGCATTCAGCCCTCGCATATGGTGGTTGTCCACACTCCGAATCAACAAGCTCCTCTTTGTTTTTCCCTCCCTCCTCTTTCACAAGTAATCATTTGAAAAGTATCTTCCTGCTGACAAGCGAGTTGGTCGTAAATGTGAGAAAGCCGAGCACCAGTAATGCATTCATTCCTCATCGCCATTCACGCTCCCTCCTCTTCATTCCAGATCTCATTCTCAGGCTCTGATGGGTTTGTTGCTTAGTTAGCATGGTTAATGGTGCGTCGACTCCAGTGTGTAATTTTATTTCCAACTTCCATTTTTGTCATTTGCTTTTAGTTTGAAATGACAAGAGGCTCTGATGGAAGGACCCTGTGTGCAGATGGCATCTTCCTAATGGTCCTCTGGGTAATGATGGTTGAAATAGGTTCCTAACCGGAGGCTGGGAGCTGCGGCCCTTGGGGGACATTCACTTTGACTATTTTCATCTTTGTCATCAAGACAAATTGCTTAGCATCAAACCATACCTGCGTATATAAAGTTCACACACATTTCTTTAGTACTTTGGGCTGGTCAGGGGGGAAAGAAAAAGCTAAATCTTCGGTGGAACAGATGAGGAGACTTTATGTTATATCCCCAGGCACACTGGGAGTAGCTGAATTGCTGTACTCATCCTCATTCCCCTTCTTTTTTTATCCTGTAGACTTTGGGTGATGTATTTTCGGCTGTAGTTGTGCCACCGTAACGGCAGTGATCTGTCTGAAGTGTGCAACTGTTGATGTCTAAGGAATGCGTCAGTGTGGTAGGAAGCAACAGTTAATCTCCCCTCCTCATCCGCGACATATGGGACTTTGTTTGGCCCTGCACCTTATAGCGGCGCTGGTCTGTGACACCTCATACTTCATTTTGATAGAGGCTGGTTACCCGTGGCAACTGTGCTGCCAGTGGGAGTCTTGCTTCTTGAAGGGCATGGCAAAAAGGAGGAGGTGTGTGGGTTACGAGGATGCACACTCCAAGGTCCCCCACCTCCCCTCTTTCCTGGTTGGTTGGGTTGTAACCAGTGAAGGGTGTGGGACCCCTGGGGAGTGAATTATTACCTGTCAGCCCCACAAGCTCCCTGCCATCCATAATCCTGGGCTGACACAGCACAGACCAGTCCAGGCTATCTGCTGAGACCACCGGGCCTTGGCCTCGAGGTCTGGCCCCGTTCGGCCACAGCTGGTAAGAAATCACATTAACATGCTGCATCAGGCATTACAAATGCACAGGTTAAGCTCCGCAGACGGACTGCCTCATGCCTTCTGCTGCATGAAAAATGGCTCTTCAGGCTCATCTTTAAAAGAAAACAGGTTTTCATTTAAATGTGTTACTTGAATTTTTTCTAGTCTCGGTTAGTTTCAACAGCTTTCCATAAGGATCTGAAACTATTTCTTTGGTGTACCTTGAAGAAAGGTTGTTGCTCGTTGTTTTGCTGATTCAGCGTTCTGATTCTCTGAGGTCCGTCAGCCGCTCGGTTTTTAAAGTTCATTAACAGAGTGCTGGTGGCACAGACATTGGAGACGGTGCCAGTTTGGCTGCATCTGTTTCCTTCTTACTGTTAAAGGCGCAGTAAGTGAAGGTGTAAACGAGGGGTTGATCGATATATCAGTCAGCCGATATATCAGACCGATATTTGCTTTTTTATTAGTGATGCACCGATATGAAATTTTTGGGCCGATACCGATATTAAGATCACTGTTATGGTCAATAACCGATATTTGCCGATACCGATATACTGGCATGCTTCTAAAATCAGCTATTTTGTATTAAATGAAAATTATTAAAGCCACATTATTATGTACACACATCTCTCACACATTTACGCTTCTGAGATGATTTCATTCACTGTTCACATGACTAAACAAATACACATCACCCCCTCACCCTCTGAAACAGGCAAACAAATGGAGACGAGATGGAAAAAATATTGGTTGTTAATATCGGCCCGGTTTTATTTATCGAACCGATACCGATATGTTAAAAATGACTAACATCGGGCAATACCGATATGGATACTGATATATTGTGCATCCCTAGTTTTCATATATTAGCAGGTATACCTCTTTAGGAAAGGTGATTTAAAAACAAGCAAATCCCGGGCAGCCCAGTGCTGTGGCAGAATTGACTTTAATTGTATATTTACATTCCAGAATAAAATCAGCTTATTAAATTCTCTAAAAATATTTACAACAAATGATTCTTTTACCAGTTTTGAATATTTAATACTTGGTCAGTAAATTGATATTTTTGATTAGCTCTAGCAAAATGTTTGATTTTAACACTGAGCTGCACAAAAAATGAAGATTAACTAGGAATGCACCATATATCGGCACTGGTATCGACCGATGTTAGTCATTTTTTAACATGTCGGTATTGGTACGATAAGTCAAACTGGACCAATATTAACAACTGATCATTTTTCCATCTTGTTTCTGTTTGTGCATTTGTTTGAGAGGGTGAGGAGGGGTGATGATGTGTAATAGTATAGTCATGTGACAGTGATGGTAATGACCTCAGAAGTGTAAATGTGTGTGGTGTGTTTATGTAATAACATATTATCTAGTGTGCACTTTATAGAAAGTTTGCAAGATTTTCAGTCTATACAAAATATGCTGATTTTAAGAGCATAAATGTCAACATGTGTATATATACACATCTATCAGTGTCAGCAAATATCAGTTATCAGCCATAATAGGGTTATTAATATTGGCTACCGGTATCGGCCCAAAATTTGACATTAGTGTGTGCATCCCTAGATTTAACAGTTGGATTAATTCAGAGTTCAGAACTGATGGAGTTTCAAAAATGTTGTGCAACAACTGATGTGATTAGTAATGCGTTAGCGTGCTGATGAGATAGAAAATGTCGAGATATCGTCCGTAAAGATCGACCCAAAATATCGGCTGCACTTATCGGTCATTGGCTGACCATGACATCAACATTTTGGCATTGGTGTCAGCAATAGAAAAACCATACTGGTGAACCTCTAATGCATAAAGCATTGATGGGACACACACGCACGCACGCACGCACGCACGCACGCACGCACGCACACACACACACACACACACACACACACGCACGCACGCACACACACACACACACACACTGATCCAGTCTGAATCCCAAACAGACTCATAATTATGTTTGATTCCAAAAACAGGCGTGCTGTTTTGTCCCTCCCGTGGTCCCGGTGCGGTTAGTCCTGCACTGGAAATTACGGTCCAGCTGATGAGTGTGTAAATTTGAGGAGGAAAACTTTTAGAGTTCAATGAAAGGCTATAGGGACGAGGAAGGAAAAAGGGCGGGACGTGGTGGACCACAAACTGGACGAGTGACAGGCCTCGATCCGACCGTCCAGACTGACTGTCTTCTGGAGGTTTTGCCGAGCCGCTCTTCAGAAACATTAACCCCTTGTCGAACACGAGCTTTGGTTCTCCTGCCAACCCACCGAGTCCACAGGCAGCGAGCAGGAACACTTCACGCCTCTCTGGTTAGATGCTTCATGAGGTTTGGTGGACAGAGTCCAGCAATTAGAGGGGAAGCTTGCAAAATCAGCACAGATCCAAAGATTTATATTTCTGAGAGAA